ATGCATAATGCATCCATTAAAGAGTGTGATGGAAATTTATTAGAAAAAAAAAATCAAATCAAGATTCAACCAGAAGCAAATGACTGAAATTTTATTCCAAAATATTTAAGACTGTCTTGAAACAGTAAAGAATTCAAAATCAAATTCAGTTTTATAACAAAATAGCTATTTTAGAAAAGGAAAAAAAGAAATCCAAAAGGCAAAGAAACATATCTTCTAACCTCCAAAAAATACTCAGCCTTGAGGCCATGGCATAATAAAACTGCCCAAATCATAAAGGATAAATAGCATCCTAAACACACTGTTGGGATATCTTATAATATCAATATTTTAACTTTGAATATTTTAGAGTATATTGAAAATTTTCTCTTAAAATTAGTTTTATAATATTTGATGATTTGTTTCTTTATTTCATTAGGATTATAGCATGTAGCTTTGAATACTTCAAATTTTATAAGAACATTATCATATCATTATACAACACCATACACAAGTAAATATTATTCCAAGGGTGTATACTCTCTATTTTCTTCATAGAAGCTCTTCTAAACACCCCTAGATCAATCTAAAAGAAGCATACCGAACACCATTTTAAAACTCATAACTAGTCTCTTCATTGGAATTTAAAGCATTCAAAAGTAAAAGGAAAATCGCTGTAAATTTACATTAAATTCCCTACTTCCGTTAGCTGGTTGCACAGTTAATATTCAGTCACAGCTTGGTCTTATTGGGTATAATATGTTGTGAGAACTAAGACCAATGTCATTTGCCTCAAGAATTCAAAACTTTCTTTACATAACAATACCGTAAGAAGGTACTAGCAAATACCAACACCTTTTGAAAAACAGAATAATACTTACTGAAATGCTCCAGCAATACTTCTAGCATTTTGGACAATTTTGGACTAGATGCTCCATGAGACAAACTTTGCTGCATTAGTTGCCTTGCTTTAAAAATAACTTCACTTTTACTCATAAATTTTGCAAAATATCTGAAAGTAATCCTTATACAATCATTTTTCAGAACTTTAAATATATATATATAAATATGTAATTCATAAATGTTGGCAATGACATAGTAAAATATTCCTACAAGGCCCTTACATAAATTAAATATCAAAAGACATGCACAACACGGTTACAGAAGTTTCTTAGATATTCTGCTCTCAGCTATATCGAATAAGAGCGTAAAGTTAAATGACTTTACATGTAATAGAACATTGGTCTTCTATTAATGTATACATAGAAATATTACAAATAAGTGATTTAAATATGAAGAATTTACCACAAAAAATGCATTATGTAGACATCTCTATTGCATCTAGAAATTAATCAACCAAGCCATCACTTTTATGACATATCTATTGGCAATGGCGACTGACTAACATCTTTTGTTGTTTTAGAGTTTGGTGGTTCAGCTGTGTTAAATTCATAAGTAGACCATATGACGAGAGAGGAAACAGCATGCATGTTTAACTATCAAATCAACACTCCCAATATGCCCCCATATGTTCTGTCCTTAGTGGTTATTTGACATGGGGGTGGTCTTTCCATTGTCTTGTCTTTATACATCTTGTCATTTCCTTAGTGTTTTTTTTTCATACTGTGTGTTTTTCGTCTTACCTAAATTGTCAAGAAACACGAGTATATATACCATGTTACTATTTTGTGCGAATAAAAATGACACGATAAATTTTGTATTTGATCTTAATTGTTAATGAAAATTTTTCAGGATAGTTGTTTGATATTGGACTCATTCTTATGTGTTAGTATTACTAAAATGTCAAACTCCCCTTACATACAGAGATGAGAAATGAATACAACTTTTTTTATTAATATATCCATTTCTGCAATAATAACCGAAACTAACATATGGGACTGTTTAGAGTGACATAGACAAATTTCATAACTAAGCAGGGACTACTTAGTTTTGAATTCTTCAATTCCATAAATTTAGTACTATTTAGTTTTATAACCAGTTTAGTAAATTCATCTTATGTAGTGTTTCGTTGAATACCGTCACTTATTCTAACCTTTCAATCCTCTTGGCATGAACATAGGTTGTTTTAATGGACAAATGGTTAAATGTTATTGTTCTTGAGCTTTCTATTTCTCATTATATTTATGACATACTTACTTATTGTGCATTCGTCCATTTTCATAGGAAAGAGAGCGTGGGCACAAAGTTAGTAGAGGAAAAGTCTGGATAACTACCCATAAGAAGACCAATGAAACTTTTGTTAGTGATGAGGCAAGAGAAATTGGAATAAGTTTTATTCCTGTTACGTATGTATAACAACAGTTTAGTGCAACAAATATGAAATTTATAGATGTAATATGAAAATGAACTTTATAATCAAATGTTAATATATAAAAGGAAATGTTTGTTATCGTTAAAAAAATAGGGTAGTTGAAGTTAGCATAGCAGATAAATAAAAGAAAGATGAATAATTTTGGTTAGAAGGAAAGAAGAGAGATAGAAAAAGTTGAAGGATTGGAATTTATGATGATTGGTGGAAAAAGGAGTACAGAGAAGTTATCTTAGGGTAGTGAAGTTAATAATGAGTGGGGAGAGTATGGAAAAAAATGGGGAGGCAGAGGAAAAGAGTTAGTGGTGGTTAGCGTTTACTGTTTCTGAAAAGCTGAAGGCGTGCGTCTCCAAGCCTGAGAGAATATGTGGCTTTCTTGTATTCGGTCCAACTTCAACCCCCACTTTCCCAACATTCATTTCTCATTTCATTACTTCATATCATATTCATTTCTTACACTTGTCATTAATTTCATTCAAATGTTCCCAAAATATTTTAGTAGATGGATTCAGACCCACTGAAATTTAGTTCAAAAGCTGCAGTGAAAACAAAAGAAAAAGAAAAATACACTGATTCCCATGTCATTTCACCTCACTTCACTTCCATCAACTTTTAAGAATTTTTTTTTCTCTTTCTGTGCCAGCATACAAATCAGGCCCCCCACTCCCTGTTTTTTTTTT